AGGCCACAGCTAGCCTGTCCGAGGCCACGCAGCCTTGGCATGGCCTGGGCTGCCACGTACGGCGCTAGCAGCCGAGGCCAGCCTCTTCTTTTCTAGGCTTCCGAAGGCGACGGCCCCCCTCAGACGCTTCTCGGCGCCTCGCAGAGTGCAACCTTATTGGCGTTGGCATCTCCACCTTTGTGGGCTTTAGCACAGGCCACAGTTAGCCTGTCCGAGGCCACGCCTAAGGCTAGAACACCCATCTTCTTTCCGCAGACGGGCAACCACCGGAACGACACTAACGCCTTCAGTTACACATGCTACACTCCTCTTGAAAAGGGGTCGGCGGCACCCGGGCGAAGCCCTTACAATTACAAAGCACTTGGAGGCTGAAAAGAAACGGACGGTTGATGCATGTTCTGTGTCACAGAGATACGGTAGGGGAATGTGGTGAAGCGAGAGCCTAATATCCACAACACTTGACATCAACCAGTGACCTAATTAGCAACCAAAAGTCAGACCCCTTCAGTAGAAAAAACTCGTTTGAGCAATGATGATGTCCCTAGCACCCCGACTTCCCAACCTTTCAAGCCACTTTCAATCGCCTTGCTCTCAAATGATCTCAAATTAGCAACCCGTCAGTATCCCTGTCGCGCTCGGCAAACAATTATGCTACAAACGTTGCTCGGTAGCTTGCCGGTCGTGGACAAGGATTACCCAGTTAAACTTCTCGTTACTGGTCGTTCTTGCTACTAGTAGCTTCTTGCTCCTAGTAGTAAGGCCAGGAGCCCCTAGTGGCGTCCTTGCTCCTAGTAGCGATGCCCTTTGCTCCTAGTAGTAGTAGCTTCTTGTTACCCGGAGGTTTCTTGGGTTATTGTATGATAACTTGTGATATGTGCTTCGGCTTGCAACTTGGATAAAGCTCCACTCTGGCTGCTGCATGTTCTTCCCAAGACAACCTTCTCCATTGTGATCCACTTCACTAAAGCATACAAAAGCCTCATGCGTGCAGTTTGAACTGCTCTCAAGGAACTTAGACCGCTAGTACATTCTAGTACAGTAACTGCTTCAGTTTCAACTGTTTGTTCCCCGTGGTCAGGGCTCAAACTTGCAGTGTCGACTGCCATACCTTCGGATGGAGATCCAACCCAACCCATCCAAACGACTAAATCCTGACTAGGAGGCATCTCACTAACACCATGAAGCTCCTCCGGATGCCTTTCTGGCACGGGTGTCTCGCTCTCATCTGCCATGTCCTGGAAAGCAAACAGAAGGGAGGAAGACTTTCGCACCGTCCTTGCCCGTCATTGATGATTTTTGAACGATGCTGGACATGCCTGCATTACCAGCATTGCTCAACCAACCTCCTCAACGCACCCAGACTGAACCTAAAATCAGAAGAACAATCACACTTCACCAAAAAAGCTCCGTCTGCCCGCCAAACACTATTCCTCACTTTGTTTCGACATATATATATTATATAAGTGTATATATATACAGTATATGTGTGTGTGACCGTATCTATTTTCTAAAGGTCCTCCACACATCAATAAAAGTTGCGAGGGGTCAAGAGATCCGGCAAACTTCCTTTGAGCAGTCCTCATCTTGTGGATTGTGCATGGGCACACCCTGGAGCTGAGGTTGGCAAGGCCAGGGCCAATGCAAAGAGTTGGAGAGTTTTCTGATACTTTTTGCCCAAATGTGGCTACAAGATTGCCGCAAGAGGAAGGTAACACAAAGAAGTGGGCACACCAACATCAAAATCAAGCAGGAGTGGAAAGTCCAATCTTTCCTGACGGAATCGGTCACGTTCTAAGCAAGTCTTGCAGCTGGTGCCTCGGCCTCTCGATTCCCAACAATTGGAGAAGCAACGGTTCGACTGCGAGGATTTGTTTGAAGCCCGTGGCCTGCCTCCTTACTTTATTAAGTAGGTGCCTACTTAATTAAGTAAGGGAGCAAGCTCCTTGGACGCAGGATCTCACGCTTCGCTTCAAGCAAGTGCTCGCACTGATAATTTGGTTCTTAGATCTTTAGGAAACTTACTTGGGCACTGCAACAAGTGGATAGAGTCAACACCAACACTTTGTTATACGTTCAACAAGTTCCGATACTCGGGAAAAAGGGCCCTGCCTCTGTTCTGCTCAAAGGAGGTGCTACTAACGTCTTCAGCTCAGGCAAATCTTGGCCCTTCAACCTTAGGGTTGCAGCCGGAGGAGGCTTTGACTGATTGAACAAGGTGGTGTCCAGGATAGCTTAGAGACAACCTTAGACATCAGTGGTGCTTCTCACTTGATCAGCCTTTGGTGTAGCCACAACAATCTACTTCTGTCCACCAGCTTTGGCAAGATGCTCTGAGAACGTCCCTTGAACCAGCACTGAGCCCGAGCGAAGGATGATGATGCCTGGAAGCAATGAAAGAAAACAACACACCCTTGGGAGTGCTGCAGAGGAATATGCAAACCAAGCACATATGTTGTATCATTTGGAGTTATCAAAACGGTGGAGCTCCCTAAAGACCCCTGCTAAAAGGAAAAGGGTGTCCCTATTACGCTGCACACCCCTGTCGGAATCCATCTCTCAAGCCTCTGTATATATAGCTGCTTTACGATCTTTAAGCTCCGGATTCCACCTGCATCGATCTCGCCATTGGCCCCCGCAAGGCAACTCATCCACCAGGGGTCGGCGGCCTAGACAAGACTCCACACTTGTTTGTTTTCTTGCACTGCACGTTCTGCATTGCTATATTACCCACATTCCAAAGACATCAAAACATGTGTTTACTGCCCTGTGTATGTATATAATATATATATATATTGTGAATTTCGAACCTTTCGGTCACTGAGGAACCAGTCTTGACCCAC